TGGTCCCACTGGAACCATTCTATCCTTTGGTTCCGGAACATTGCTATTAGGATAGACGGTATTTGGAAACCATATACGGCCTTTTACCATTCACAACTGGAATACGGAATTCGAGCGTGGTGACCAATGCTGAAAAAACATTACAGGTTTCATGAAAGTATTCAAATGAGGACAATGATAATCTTGAAGGGTCCAAAGTCCTTTTCGTGCAGATAAATGAAATTTGCATTTTAACCGCCTAGCGGGCACTATCAAAACGAACTTGGTACTGTAATGAAATAATAGTAATGTGCGCATTGGTGCTGTGAGCGGGTAACCAAATAAGCAACGGAAGTGAGAAGTATGGTAGGTAGAGTATTTCACATGCGCCAGTGCTTCGTCTTTTTAAAACAAGTTTTAGAAGGTAGAGATAACGAAGAGACGCAGTAAGGAAAATAATGAAGTCGGGATATTCTTCACCGAACCTCCACTAAAAAAACAGTACGATAAAAGCTGCTCCGCGGATAGATTGGAAAACGGTTAGACTGATAAGGTAAAATGAGATAGGGCCGTGCTGTTTATGGACAGGTGTGAGGGTTCGATACGCTCCTTGTCGTGCGAGAATGACAAGGAACAGCAACGACTACTGTTCACCACTATACAACCATACAGCAGACTGCAGGAGCAATCATCAGGGAGACGAGACAGGAAGAGCTAATCACGGATATAATCAGCATGCTTAATTTCAAAATCAGGGGGGACAGTGAAGGTCACGAGGTCACCGAAAGTGCCGCAGATGCGACCATGATACACCCTTGCAGACTGAAGAGTCCACCGACAAGGTGGCGAAAATAGAAGAACCTGTCATGATCGTCAACTGTCCAGTGCTTGCCGATATAAGTGGGAACGTTAAAAGGCCGCAAATACAATGGCTACAAGATGCGGTTGCCGACCACATCGTTGCAGTTCGCAAAGTGTTGAATAGGAGAGACTGCAAAAATCATGGCTTCAGTATGAAGACGCATAGTTGACCGAGGAAACTATTGTCAGGATTGCAAAAGAGAGGAACCCATCAATGTCGCCAACATTTCGCAATGACGCTCGAACAGAGGTAAAGACGAAAACGGTTGCGAAAATTGTTTCTGTAAAGGAACACAACCATATTTAGAAACCAATTAATGCGTAGGGAACAGCTTCAGCTACTAGGAGGACCATTTTCGAGGTCCAAAATTTGTGCGTTTGGCAAGGATGCGGACAATAGGGTCTTTATGGTAGTAGGTAAGTTTACAGGATGTTTCAGGATGTAACCATGCTGATTGATGCCTTCGCAACTTTGGTATCCCAAGTATATGTTGCAAGGGGAATATTAATGTTACTTATTAAGTTTTAGTAACGTATTTTTATGTTCTGTATGTATGAGTCTATGTAGTATGTATGTATCTTCCGAGGTCAAATGGTTACGTAATTGTGGTAACTTAGAGGATCTAAAGCCCAGAAAATGTATAAATGTATTAGGAAAGGTGGAACGCATATCCTAAAGAGTAGTAACTGAACTACTGCAAACTATGTTGAGAGACAAACGAATAAAAGCTGTAAAACGATAGTATGGAAGAGAGACGACACAGAAAAAAAATTGCTCGCCAAGTCCCTTCATCCAACCACGCGAAGGTTGCACTATCGTTTTGAAAAGTGTTAAAAAGGGAAGGTCGCTTTTAAGTCCTTTTTCCAAGCACGCTCCCAAATCAGTCGTCAGTCACGCCGGAAAACTAAGTCTCAGGCACGTGCACCAAGTCACACCGAGTTGAGTAAAAAGTGTGTGCATTCAAACAAAATGTACATGTTGCGCATATAAGCTAATTTAGGTCAGATAAACATACCTAAGTAGGAAAAGGTACAAGGTCCTAGCAGAGCATTGGTGGCACAAAACAAACTTTCGACAAAAAGTGCAAAAGCACTTTACCCCACTAAGTACTTAAGATTGGCAGGAAAAAGAATACGTCTACCAGAAGGAGTGGAACGGTTGGTGCTACAGAAAGGTGAGTGGGAGGGATTATTTGTGTACGCGAGGTTGACAGTGGCGTGTGACTAGAAGAGGCGAATGGAGCGGACGTCAAGGATGCAGAGGAATGGATAATCCAGCTGGCGGGGATGAGCATTCAAAGTAGGCTGGTTTCAATCTGCCGAGCGGAATAGTGTCGGAATTGTCGCCTTTTTGAATGACTTAATATTTGTCCATTTGCTGTAGCACTTCTTACGAGCGTTGTACTGGGAGCAAGGAGGCTTACGAACTGTGTCATGCCAGACGAAAACGATAGGGGTAGTGATCAGTTCGCCGTGCACGAACACACATCTGGGTATCGAACGCGTGGGGTTGGAGGCAGTTATACCATGCGGTTCTTTTGCATTTGCACGAACATTTTTGATGTTTCGTTGTTGACAGAGGAAGACATCACGAATTCACTGGGTAGATGAAGAGGTGTGCCGTAAAAAAGCTCGGCGGGGGATGCATTGAATGTCCTCTTTGACAGCTGAACGAATACCTATGAGTACGATCCGTAGGTTGTCGCTCCATGAGGTTGGCGCTGGATGAGACATCTACGCGGACTTAAATTGACGACGCAGACAATCCACAAGGCCGCTGGAGGTAGGGTGATATGCGGCGGTGGTGCTATGCATGCAAGCGAGTAATTGGATGAACTCACGGAAGAGGGTGTAGTGAAATTGGCTTCTGCGGTTAGTCGTTAGATTAGGTCGAACACCTTAATAGGATATCCGGTAAGTGAGGAAAACCACGGCAATGTTTTCTGCCGAGGTATCCGAAATATGAACAGTTATGGGCCATCGTGTGAAGCGAAAGGCAGCAGTCAAAATGTGAGTGTAGCCGCGTGATGGAGGTAACGGTCTGAAGAGATCCAGGTGGACATGTTAAAACGGACGCTGGGGTCGCTTGGAGGAGAAAGTGTATGCTGGTGGACTTTGTTCTTTTGGCAGGCTAGGCACTACCTAGTTCAAAACGAAATGTCGGCGTACATCTTGGGTCAGACGAAACTTATCGCAATAAATTTGCGACTGGTGCGCACTTCAGGATGTGATAAAAATTGGAAATGATTAAACACAATCGAATGGTAGGACGGTATGGTAGGACGGTGATACAACAGGACGGGGAGTACCTGTATGGGACCGAGGTTCTTCTGTTCGTTAACATTTGAAAGGAGCTGTCCATCAAAAAGTTATTGACAGAAATCATCGTCCTTACTGTTCCTTCTACTAAGGAGCTTTAAAACCACAACATACTGGCGTAGAAATTGAAGAGCCACCTAACGGACCAGCTGCTAAGTCGGATGACATAATCTTAAAGTGCTTGCCCATCGGCGTCAAACCTGATGGCTCTTCAGAATTTGACACTGTGAAATAACATGATGGCGCTGCAACCAAGGTCGTCAACACAGTCGTTGATATAGACGGGGAAGAGCAACAGCTCAAAGACGGAGCATTGTGACACCACTTGGAACAAAGCTAGAGTTTGACTTTGAGGCGCAGAATCACACAGTCTGCGGTTTCCTGTGATAAAATGCGTAATCTATGTCGGCAGGTTTCCTCTTATTCCAATTAAAGCCAATTGATAGGTAAGGAATTTATGTTGGATGTTGTTAAATGCCTTATTAAACGCACCGTAAATGACGTCAAAAATGCCATCATATCCAGTGTGCGAGTCGCTGCTCGGTCGAGAGCAATGGCCTGGAAAGACAAGAGTGGTTCTGCCTGAAGCCATGTTCAAGCCCTGAAAGTAAACTGTTCTCCGCCAGGAAATTTATTGTCGCCTTCTTAATTACGTTTTACATTACAGCTAATTCAAGCATATAAACGTTTCCTTCAATTCTCTTCTAAATTATGCTGTCTGGGTGGAAATTGTCAACATTAAGTAGCCTTGGTGTGTATCTTACTGTTGAATTCTGGTGTCACCTGCTTGCCTTTGCTACGCCCACTTGTTCAGATATTCTGATATTGAAACACCGACCGCATCTCCAGATTCTGCTGGCCGGGGTGACACGACATGTTCCTCTCCGCCTTTGTTCTTGTAACCACGAAGCCCACGAGGTCAAGACGACAGAGAGCAACCAACTCGCCCGCGCCTGTTCCCGCCCCCGACTCGATTCCGGAGCAGACCCCATCAACTAGTGTGCCGAAACGCACGAACCCCCCGGTTGTTGCTGCAGCGCCCACATCTATGTCGGTGAAACGACCAACTACTGAAGTGAGACAACGTGAAAGGTGTCTGATAATGTTCAACGTTCCTGAATCGACAGAAGGCGATGCCACCTCTCGATTAAAGTTTGACAAAGCTGAGATCGATCCCATATTGCAACGGCTGTTGGAGAATGCTGGTGAGGAAATCGCGGTTAACCAAAGTATTCGGCTTGGTGCCAAATCAGAAAGCCGCCCACGTCCGATAAAGCTTATATTCGACTCATCTGTGATTGCTAAACAATGGCTGTCAAGATGCTATAAGCTCAAGGGCCTACCGGTATCAGTAAAACCCGACCTCTCACCCGAAGAACGTGACAAACGCCGCATGGCCGTCCAGGAGCTAAAGCGTTGGCCACTCACCGGCGAAACGGACCTGATAATCCGGAATTTTCGGGTTATGAGGAG